CCTTTCTCGGAGAGGTGACCTTGGTTAGAACACATAGTGCTAAGAGGGGGAGCAAGCATATTAAGAACAGGATGCCATAGACGCCAGGTCCCTTGAAACATATGGTGTGCAGATGTTTCTTCCCTGCAGCGACTGTGTCAAGCAGCAAGGATGGACCAGCTTCCAGCAGAAGCAGGGATGCTCGGAGTGGGTTGGGTGTGGGTGAGGCATGGGCCTTGGGGTCCAAGGGTGACCCGGGACTGGCCCCAGGGGTGAGCTCTGCCCAGGAAGTGAGCCGGATGCGGGGATACCACCCAGCAGGGGACCCCAGAAATCAGGGCCAGACTCTAAGTTACCTGGGGAGCCAGATGCCACAGCCTGGCTCCCAACATGCATACATTGTGTATCATCTTCTTCTTTTATATGTATTTTCGTTGATTGCAGAGAGGAAGGGAGAGGGCGAGAGAGAGACAGAAGCATCCATGACGAGAGAGAATCATGGGTCGGCTGCCCCCCGCACGCCCCCTACTGGGGGCCGAGCCCACAACTTGGGCCTCGAACCGTGACCTCCTGGTTCCGAGGTCGACGCTCAACCACTGAGCCACACCAGCCAGGCTGAGGTGTGTCTTCCTTCCCAAGCGTCTCTGACGGCCTCTCGCTTGGTGTCCCCCCAGAACCACGCCTTCCTCACCGTGCCCAACCTGAGGCCGTCCACCCTGTACCGACTCGAGGTCCAGGTGCTGACCGCCGCGGGGGAGGGGCCGGCCACCCTCCAGACCTTCCGGACCCCTGACCGCCTGCCCCCGGTGCACGGTAAGAGCCGGCTGCCTTCCCCACACGGGACAGTCCTGGGGAAAAAAACCCAACACCCATAGCGGCAGGCCTGTGACATGGGGCTCTCGTCCCCCGGGAGTCCTTCTCCCCATTCACGTCTGCTCACGGGGGGTTCATTTTAGCATAAATCGTAGAATCGACGTTTAATTCCCTTTTCCCTGCCCTCTTCTTCTTCCTTTCTTTCTTTTCTTTTTTATCCTTCCTTTTATGTTATACAGAGTGCATGCTTTTCTTTGTCTTTTTATAAAATACTAGTGGCACGGTGCATGAAATTCGTGCACTGGGGTGGGGGTGTCCCTCAGCCCGGCCTGCACCCTCTCGCAATCTGGGAACGCTGCCTCCTAACTGCTTACCTGCCTGCCTGCCTGATCGCCCCTAACCACTCTGCCTGCCGGACTGCTCACCCCCAACTGCCCCCCTGCTGGCCTGATCGCTCCCAACTGACCTCCCTGCTGGCCTGATCGCCCGTAACCACCTCTGCCTCAACCCCGCCACCATGGCTTTGTCCAGAAGGATGTCTGGAAGGATGTCCGGAAGGTCTCCCAGTCTAATTAGCATATTACCCTTTTATTAGTATAGATATTTTTCTTGATTTTCAGAGAGGAAGGGAGAGAGAGAGATAGAAACATCCATGAGGAGAGAGAACCATGGATCCGCTGCCTCCTGCACGCCCCCTACTAGGGATCAAGCCACACTGGGGATCCAGCTCGCAACCCGGGCCTGTGCCCTGAGCGGGAATCGAACCCAGGACCCTTCTGTCCGCAGGCCGGACACTCTGTCCAATGAGCCACACAGGCTGGGACTTCTTTGTCTTTTAAACCATAAATACATACGGAAAAAAAATCTATAATCGTATGAAGCAGAAATGTTCTCGAAATTACGATTTTCCAATACGAAGTACAGGAGATAATATTTGGGCAAGAAGCTCATTTTCTTATTGCACACGTTTTACTGAAACATATGATGTGCGTTTTCTTCAAAATATGACCCCAATGGAATTAGCTAAACCCAGTAACATTGTCTTTAAAAAGTGTTACCGACTATTTAACGAGCATCTTGCTGATTTTTCGTTACGGATTTTACCGCCATCCAGCTGACCTTAAAAAGCCATGTCTAAAGGTGTGTGTTGATTTAAAATAATGGAGAGGTGATCCTAGATTAACTTCTGATGTTTTCAAAATGACGGATCCGCCCGGCCGGCGTGGCTCAGTGGCTGAGCGTCGACCTATGAACCAGGAGGTCACGGGTTCGAATCCTGGTCAGGGCATACACCCAGGTTGCAGGCTTGATCCAATTGTATACTTGAAAACTATATAATTTTATTAACCAAAGTCACTCCAATAAATTCAATAAAAATTACTCCCTTCCTCTCTGAAATAAAAAAAAAAAAAATTATATTAAAAAAAATTAATTTGCATTTGCTTTTTGCAGCCCGGGCAGGGAGAGACCAGACGGACAGAGGGGACGGGGCGGTCTGCGACCTTTCGGGGTCAGCCAGGACCCGAGGGGGCGAGGGGACTGACAGGTGTTTTCCTTCTCTCCCCAGGGCCCCCCCTCAAACACCACCACCCACAGCATCACCGCTCGGCTCCCCAGAGGCTCTGAGCTGCCCTCCAGGCGGCCGAGCCCTTGGGTGTGCCCCAGCCTCACCCCCAGGTACCCTCTCTCCACCCCGAGGCCTCCGGACATGGTGCCCCACGGGAGTCTGCGTCGGCGTCAGCCACATCCCCCGGGAGCGGAGAGAACGCACACGCGGCCCAGCCCATGCAAATTCCGTGTCCATGTGTGGTGTGGCCAGCTGACACCGTGTCATCACAGAACCGTGGGCTCCCAGGATCTCTCCCATCAGACCCAGGTCACACTCACTCCAGGCCTAGCCTTCACCAGGGCAACTTTTCATTTGACTTTCTAATAGACTAGCAGCCCTGTGCAGGGAATTCGTGCACGGGGAGGGTCCCTAGGGCTGGCTGGAGATCAGGGCCGATCTCGGCCTTCCTTTGTTCCATGCTGCCCCCTGGTGGTCAGCGCACATCATAGCGAGCAATCGAACTCCCGGTCGAACTCCCGCAGGGACACTTTGCATATTAGCCTTTTATATATATACATTCCTTTATTTCAGAGAGGAAGGGAGAGGGAGAGGGAGAGAGAAACAGCCATGAGGAGAGAGAATCGCGGACCGGCTGCCTCCCGCACGCCCCCTACTGGGGATCGAGCCCACAACCCCGGCATGTGCCCCTGGCCGGAATCGAACCCTGACCTCCGGTTCATAGGTCGACGCTCAACCACGGAGCCACGCCGGCCGGGCACCAGTGGAACTTTTTACATGAAAATGACCGATTCCATTCGCTGCTCCCCACACGACCCCCGGGAGAAATTAAAACCCCGTTCTCGCTGCTTTTTTTACAGTTTCGTCCTCCAGAGCGAGAGATGTTCCTGATTTCTTATTTATATCTCCCCCTTTCCTTCACGAGACGCCTGCCGCTGGGTGTCGATAACACTCCCGCGTGTCTAAACACTCACCCAACCGCTCGCTTGAAATGAAAGCATCGCAGCGATTGCATATTCTCCATCCCCAGTGTGGGGCCTGCGGGAGGCAGGCCATGCGTGATTCCCTCCATCATTGATGTTTCTCTCGCTCTCCCTCTCCCTTCCTCTCTGACATCAATAAAAACATATTCAACAACAACAACAAAACACCATGAAACTCAGAGAGACGGTGACTTCGTCTGTGTTTCCGTGTGGCCAGACTCACCGTTTTCCTTCTAACGAATCTCTCGGCACGTGGCCCCGTGGACACGGCGGCTAACGAGGCTTCAATGTCGTCATCCTCGCTCGCCCGGATGGTCCGCGGGAATCTGTCCCTCCCAGCGGCCACGCAAACTCCATAATTTATTTATGTCTGTAATTAGAATGTGTCCTGTGTGTGTGTGTGGGTGTGCGTGTGTCATGTTATCTAGAGACTATGTCTGTAATTAGAATGTGTCCTGTGTGTGTGTGTGCGCGTGTGCGTGTGTCATGGTATCTAGAGACGTAACCTTGTAAAAAAAAATTGTAAAAAAAAAAACACCCCAAAAGTTATTGTAAATAGCCCGATGTGCTGGGATGCATTCATTATATCCACGTGAGAACGTTTGTACATACGGACGTCGCCACAATAAAGTCTCCTGCAACTGCCCGGTGGGCTGGACCCATTTATTGGCTAAAACAACAACAACAACAAAAAAAACAAAAAATGCCCGGCTAGTGTGGCTCAGTGGTTGGGCATCGACCTAGGAACCAGGAGGTCCCGGGTTCGATTCCCACTCAGGGCACAGGCCTGGGCTGTGGGCTCCATCCCCACTGGGAGGAGCTTTGAGGACGAACAGTGACTCCCGCCTCCTCCAGCTCTCAGTGCAGCGTGGACCCCTGGCTGTTCTAAAGGGTCCAGGCTAATTGGAAAGGGCATCGCGAAGAGATACGGGACGGACGGACGGACGGACGGTCTGTCACGCTCATCCCCACTGCAGGCCCGAGGAGGCTCACAGCTCTGCAGACACAGACATCACCACTCGCTCTCCCTCCGGGTGGAATTCATCAAGGGGGATTAGGGTCACATGGGGCCGGTCAAAGCCAGGCTCAAATATTCTAGTTATTTTTTTTTAAAAAATGTGTCTTCATTGCTGAAAGTATTGCAGATGTTTCCCCATGAAGCCCTTGTGGCCCACACCGCCCCCGCCCCAGGCCTCCCCAGCCTGTCGTCTGAGTCCGCGGGCTGTGCATCTAAGTTCTCTCCTTACCTCTGCAATTCCCCAACAGATCTGTCCGTCTGTTCTTTTTAAAAACAAAAATATATATTGATTGATTCCAGAGAGGAAGAGAGAAGGAGAGAGAGAAACATTGATGGTGAGAGAGGATCAGTCTGTCACTGCCTCCTGCACGCCCCCTACTGGGGATGGAGCCCGCAACCTGGGCACGTGCCCTTGACCGGGAATCGAACCCGGGACCTCCTGGTTCACAGGTCGACGCTCAACCACGGAGCCACGCCGGCCGGGCCATTCTCGGTTTCCTCGCCCGTCGATTCTCGCTGCAGGTGTACAATCCTGGGGGTCGCCGTGCCCCCTCACCTCCCTTTTCAGTATCTTTCCAGCTGTTTTATCCACAAAGGGAATCCCGCTGCTGTGGTCTGGGATGTTTATCAATGAATTCAGGGAGGATCCGCATTTTATAGCAACGAGCCGTCTCCATGACAGTGACGCCTCCGTTCCCCGGGGCACCTCGCTTTTCGTCAGCTCTGTGGCTTTCTCCATCATGCGATGGGCAGCCGAGGGGTCCCAGCCACCTGTCCCCACCTGAGCCAATTCAGCAGAGACAGGATTAGATCCTAGACGAGCCTTTATTCACCCACAAAACCTGCTCTGCACCCCCGTCGCCCCCAACCCCCATAAGCCAGCTGCTTACATTGGGCAGAAGGACAGAGATTACGTGGGGAAGTCGGAATTACAGGCCTGGGGAAGGAGGGAGTGCGGGCTGGGGCCGGGCTCCATCGTTTGGGCAACAAGGTTACTGTTTCCATGACAACAGCAGCTTGTGAATGAGAATGGACCACATTCCAAGGCTGACTCCCAGGTCCCAGGCTGATGACTCCCAGGTCCCAGGCTGATGACACCCAGGTCCCAGGCTGATGACACCCAGGTCCCAGGCTGACTCCCAGGTCCCAGGCTGACTCCCAGGTCCAAGGCTGACTCCCAGGACCCAGGCTGATGACTCCCAGGTCTGAAGCTCTGACTCCCGGGTCCCAGGCTCTGACTCCCAGGTCCCAGGCTGATGACTCCCAGGTCCAGGCTGACTCCCAGGTCCAGGCTGACTCCCAGGTCCAGGCTGACTCCCAGGTCCAGGCTGACTCCCAGGTCCAGGCTGACTCCCAGGTCCAGGCTGACTCCCAGGTCCAGGCTGACTCCCAGGTCCAGGCTGACTCCCAGGTCCAGGCTGACTCCCAGGTCCAGGCTGACTCCCAGGTCCAGGCTGACTCCCAGGTCCAGGCTGACTCCCAGGTCCAGGCTGACTCCCAGGTCCAGGCTGACTCCCAGGTCCAGGCTGACTCCCAGGTCCAGGCTGACTCCCAGGTCCAGGCTGACTCCCAGGTCCAGGCTGACTCCCAGGTCCAGGCTGACTCCCAGGTCCAGGCTGACTCCCAGGTCCAGGCTGACTCCCAGGTCCAGGCTGACTCCCAGGTCCAGGCTGACTCCCAGGTCCAGGCTGACTCCCAGGTCCAGGCTGACTCCCAGGTCCAGGCTGACTCCCAGGTCCAGGCTGACTCCCAGGTCCAGGCTGACTCCCAGGTCCAGGCTGACTCCCAGGTCCAGGCTGACTCCCAGGTCCAGGCTGACTCCCAGGTCCAGGCTGACTCCCAGGTCCAGGCTGACTCCCAGGTCCAGGCTGACTCCCAGGTCCAGGCTGACTCCCAGGTCCAGGCTGACTCCCAGGTCCAGGCTGACTCCCAGGTCCAGGCTGACTCCCAGGTCCAGGCTGACTCCCAGGTCCAGGCTGACTCCCAGGTCCAGGCTGACTCCCAGGTCCAGGCTGACTCCCAGGTCCAGGCTGACTCCCAGGTCCAGGCTGACTCCCAGGTCCAGGCTGACTCCCAGGTCCAGGCTGACTCCCAGGTCCAGGCTGACTCCCAGGTCCAGGCTGACTCCCAGGTCCAGGCTGACTCCCAGGTCCAGGCTGACTCCCAGGTCCAGGCTGACTCCCAGGTCCAGGCTGACTCCCAGGTCCAGGCTGACTCCCAGGTCCAAGGCTGACTCCTAAGTCCGAGGCTGATGACTCCCAGGTCCAAGGCTGACTCCCAGGTCTGAGGCTGACTTCCCTCCGGCCTCATGCCAACGCAGCCGGGTGTCCCCGAGGTCAGGGTGCACAGGGGCAGCGGCTGGTGGCGCTGATGGTGTCCCCGGGACCAGCTTCCTACCCTGTCGACCGACATTCGTTCGGACCCAGGTCTCCACAGCGGGCAGCCGGGATGGGGTCCGAGAAGGGGCCGACTCCCAGGTGCATGGGGCAGTGACGCAGCCGCCGGCACACAGGGTTCCATCCCAAGGCACGCCCTGCAACGGGAGGTCATGCAACCTGGTGACAATGCAGCGGGAGGTCATGTGATGTGGTGACACAATGCAGCGGGAGGTCATGTGACGTGGTGACACAATGCAGCGGGAGGTCATGTGACATGGTGACCAATGCAACGGGAGGTCATGAGACAGGGTGACAATGCAACGGGAGGTCATGTGACCTGGTGACCAATGCAACGGGAGGTCATGTGACGTGGTGACGTAATGCAACGCAAAGCAGCCTAATCAACCTCCTGCAGGTACAGTAACGTAAAGTAATATAATTAACATAAAATGGTGTGACATAACGTAAAGGAACCTACTTTAACGTACAGTGACGTGGTACAGTAACGTAAAGTAATATAATTAACATAAAATGGTGTGACATAACGTAAAGGAACCTACTTTAACGTACAGTGACGTGGTACAGTAACGTAAAGTAATATAATTAACATAAAATGGTGTGACATAACGTAAAGGAACCTACTTTAACGTACAGTGACGTGGTACAGTAACGTAAAGTAATATAATTAACATAAAATGGTGTGACATAACGTAAAGGAACCTACTTTAACGTACAGTGACGTGGTACAGTAACGTAAAGTAATATAATTAACATAAAATGGTGTGACATAACGTAAAGGAACCTACTTTAACGTACAGTGACGTGGTACAGTAACGTAAAGTACAAGAATTAACATAAAATGGTGTGACATAACGTAAAGGAACCTACTTTAACGTACAGTGACGTGGTACAGTAACGTAAAGTAATATAATTAACATAAAATGGTGTGACATAACGTAAAGGAACCTACTTTAACGTAAAGCGATGTGGTATAATGTAAAGTAATTTAATTACTGTAAAATGACATGACATAACGTAATCTAACTGAAGTGACGTGACATAACATAAATGAACCTACTT